CGCACGGTAGTATTAATACAGTGTCAGAAACCCAACACATGTAACCGAAACGTAATTTCCAGCTTCACTACGTGCTGTGGGCGTGGAAATGAGCGTACGGCGCGTAAATTTTGGAAAGTTTTGGAATATTCAAAATGACCTGAAACGTGCTTTAAATTATCTGAAAAGTAATATTAACAATTTAAAAATGTTAACGCACAAGTACGAATACCTTATACGACGTGCCTGACGACAGTAATGGCACATGAATTTAAACCTTGTCAAGTTTAATTTAAAACCACCTGTTGGTTGGTAATGCCACACGAATTTTGCCTTTACAGTATACGAACTATCGGTCTGATAGTGTCGAAATACAGTCTGCCGCCCTCTATTTTCAATGTGTTTATATCTTTTAAGGAAGAAAGATGAGAAGGCTCCAAAAAAAGCATTCTTTTTTACCATGGTGACGATATCAAAATAAAAAATAAAGGGACACGTCCGAAAGAGAATTGATTTAGCTATAACATTCTCACAGGTCGGAGACAATCAATCAAGATAAGCGAGTACGTTCAAAGGAGTATATAAAGTAATAACGAAATAAATAAAAATTCAATTTTTTCTTAATTCAAATGGTAATATGATAACGTCACAATGTCCGATCAGCCAATATGATCTATAAAATCGTATCTACAACTCATGTGCTTTTAGAATATGTAATAAAAATTGGGGGTCACCTTTCATCCTATGGAGCTATAAGTGATTAAAAATATTCATGGTTTTATGCATACGTAAATGTTGACGCACGCGTACGCGCACGTTAAGTCGCGCGAACGGAAAATTAGGGTACTTGACATTCAACCTTGACCTGAAGATTGTGCTCACCTAATATGATTCAGAAATGACGAATGGTTAAGATAATATGGGCTCATCAACGTTTTGAAAAAAGAAAGATGAAGGGGTCAGAAAAAACAATTTTTTGACCATGATGACGTCATCAAAATGTAAAAAAAAGTCAAATATATGAAAGAAAATTGTCTCAGCTATAACATACTGAAAGTTGGAAGACGATCGATTAAGGATAAGCGAGATACGCTCAAATGCGTATTTTCAAAAATGA